AATGAGTACTTTTCCCTCCCCCACACACATCCGTATCGTCTCAGGGGGTGACCACAGTGTTCTGCCTTAAATTGTGGCGTTTTTCTAAGAAATGGGTGCTATGTACTGTGCGAAAGCAATCGATTTTACAAGAATAAAATTTTGGACAACCCTCTTCTAAGAATGCCATTTGAGTGTGTCAGTGTGGCCAGCTCGGGGCAATATCATATTACGAGTATAAACACATCACATCACGTCTCTCCTGTTTATAACTTCGTAGCAAAGAATAAACGACATTCATAGCGGTGAAACCGCTAGCAAGAGCCACAGGAACTTTGCTGCAAGACAGGCATATGTAACAATGACTTATCTCAGCTAAACTCGTTGGCTTAGTATACTCTGTTCTTGTGACAACAGGCCAGCGAAAAATCTAACAATCTACAGCAAAACCATCAATTATTATGGGCGTTATAACATAGGTGTGCAGCTGGACGAAACATACACGACGAACCCCCCCAGACGATTTAAATCCCTGACGAAACATACACGACGAACCACGGCAACGGGTTAAGAAGTAAAAGAGTTTACACACGATACTAGATAAGAAGAAAGTAATGAATGCAGCCACAGATGGTAAGATAGGATGAGCAGATTCTGAAAATGTGTATATACATAAACACCCACACTGATACCAAAATCAGGCTAGATAAACACTCTTCATCCTGCGCAGTCACTCACTCATGGAGTTGAGCCCTTCTTGAGAAGCCACCAATTGTGCAGCTACATAGGAACTTCCGAGCATTTTATGGAACTCGAAGGTTCATTACCTTGTTCACAAGAGACTTCCACTGGTCTCTATCCTGAGCCAGACTGATACAGTCCATACCATCCCAGCCTATTTCTCTAAGATCCATTTTAATACTGTCCACCCACATATGTCTTGGTCCTCCTAGTGGCCTCTTTCCTTCTGGCTTTCTCATCAATATACTGTGACGTATTTGCGCTATGCAGGACAGCCCCCTCCAGCGGTGACATAACAGCATCGGAGCAGCTCCCGCTGCTACAGTAACAGGCCAGTCAACACTCCGCCCCCCCCCCACATGGTGACATAACAAGGGGACACTGCTGGTAACATGAGGCAACAGGGAATGGTATAAAAAGCCAGCTGAGCAGTATGTGAGCAGAGTGTGTGATCAGGAGTGACACAGTATGGATCATGAAGTTGCCGAGTCAGTTGCAATCTAGCATTTGCCAGAGTGAATGGAAGCAGTAGAACTATTTGTGATACTGCTGATGGCAACAGTTGTGGAATTGTGAATTGTATGAATGTAAGAGCGAATGTGTAATAAATTTGCTAGATCCAGAATGGCGTGAAGTTATTTGTCGGGTGTCACACACCCAACACGTAACAATTTGGTGTCAGAAGTGTCTACAAACTTGAACACGCCTCTCTCTATGAAGCATTATTGAATTCACAAGTACATAGAGTGCTATCCTACAAAAAAAAAAAATGGAGAAGTAAGATATGCAGCGAATAATCGAAATGCTGGCAAAGGCAGAGGCCAATAGAAAAGCCAACAAGGAAGAAATGAAGGCCACTAGAAAAGCCTGGCGAAAAGAGATGGCTGCAGAAATAGAAGCCTTCCAAGCAGAAATGAGAGCCATCGAAGCAAGAACGGCCGCCATGCGAGACAAAGAGGTTGAGAGCCAATATAAATGCCTGGCAGGAAGAGACGACAGCCTACCAAGATGCAATGGAGACAAATCCAAGAGAAAAAGAGGCTGTAGTTGACCAACAGAAGATTCCTAATGAAGAAGAGACGATGGCCTGCATGGAGATGGAGGCATGTCTAGAGGAAGAAGAGCCGACCTCACTGGACAGGAAACCTGAGGCGCCAGAACAAGAAGTCCCTGTAGAAGACTGCGTAGTGAAACTGGTCAAAGGACGGAAGAGGCGGTATAAGGACAACAAGCAAGCTGCAGAGCGATGCGAGGAGCCAAAGGAACTGACCCGAGGAATTTGGCTGCCGCCTGCAGGAAGGTGTCCCGCCATGCAACAGTGGCACGACATAGGAGAGATGTCTTCAAGAAAAAAACGGACCCAAAATCAGGATGAGTGCCTGAAGACATGTGTCGCTGCTCCTGGAAGGACGATCCGCCATGCAGGAGTGGCACGGCGCAAGGGAACAACCAGACTAGGAACAATGTTGCAAGAGGAGCCCTCAGAGGGCGGAGACTTCAGGTGGATATGGAGGGCAGCACTGGAGTGAAGGATGAACACACAAGACAGCAGCTGCATCCTGGGAACAAGAGAATAGCCAGCTGAACCCTCAGGAAGACCCTAGGGCTGGACATCAGGCAACAACCAGTAGACTTCCAGCGAATTACACAACATCAAAAACTGGAAACTGTGGAGGGGTCGACCCCTCCAAAACGGAAAAAGTGGAATAGCGCATGGTGAAGGAACCGGTAACACAGAAGCACCAGCCTCCCCAGCAAGAGTAAACATGCGATGGATGAAAGTGAGGAGTGAATGTGATATAACGGATCGATGATCCCAGGACCATAGAATTGCTCGGGATGAACAATCCTAAGAAGGGAGTGGATGTAACGGCCAGAGAATAGTTATTGCAAGAGGAGTAGCTGGACAAAAAGAAGATGTTGCAAGAACAGCCTTCAAAGAAAAGGAACGGGGATGCACCGTTAAGCTATTCGGGATGAACAGCCTTAAGGAGGGAGCAGTGTGGCGTATTTGCGCTATGCAGGACACCTCCCCTCCAGTGGTGACGTAACAGCATCGGAGCAACTGCCGCTGCTACGGTAACAGGCCAGTCAACACTCAGCCCCTCTCCCCCACAAGGACGTAACAGCACTTCCCACTGTGATGTAACTAGGGGACACCTCTGGTAACATGAGGCGACAGGGAACGCAATAAAAAGCCGGCTGAGCAGTATGTGAGCAGAGTGTGTGATCAGGAGTGACACAGTGTGGATCGTGAAGTTGCCGAGTCAGTTGCAATCTAGCATTCGCTGGAGTGAATGGAAGCAGCAGAAGTATTTGTGACAGTGCCAATGGAGTAGTTGTGGAATCGTGAATTGTATGAATGTAAGAGCGAATGTGTAATAAATCTGCTATACCGAGAACGGCATGAAGTTATTTGTCGCGTGTCAGACACCCAACACGTGACAATACTATACACATTCCTCTTCTCCCCCATTTGTGCTACATGCCCTATTCTGTGCATTACATTTACTTTTATCACAACAGATCTCTATAATTACTAAGTTTAGGCTCTCATAGTGATTAATGTTAATGGTATCGATTTTATTCTTTGGTTGTTTAGGGTCAATCCTGAAAATGTGGGCAGCATGCACCTCCAAAACTCTGGCAACAATGCCCACATCCACATGGTGTAACAACACAAGAATGAAATCAGTATCAGACAACTATTATTTTATCATTAAGGTCTAGTGTACATGGTGCCAGCTCTCACGCTGCCTCATTTTAACATTACTTGAGGACCTGGTTCTACAAGCAGTATACAAGGAGGTGCACATACAGTTCACTTTCAGAATTCAAGGTGGGCACCAGCAGTTCTTTATGGGACGACTGCTTATGAGTCAACTGAAATAACTGCCAAAGAAGACAGCTGGGTGAGTGTCGATGGATAGAATGCCATCAGTTAATGGCAGCTTCCAATACAGTACTGCATGAATTGTGGATTGGAGAAGACACCTTTATAAGTTAATGCAAGTTTAAGAACTCATAAAAATTCACTTCAAAAGAAGAATGCTATACTGAAATAAAAGACAATTCTCCCACTTCAGTGGAGTAAAATTTTTTACTGAATTATGAACTCATGCAAAAAGTAATAAACTTTCACAAAACTCTGATTAATTTGTAACATGAGTATCAAATTCAGACTGCCATCTTCTGAACTGTGATGTGGTGCCCTGTAGGTGGAAGCTGCTACCTCAAAAGCAGTGCAATCCATCTATAAGACTACACAATGTCACAACCTAGAAGACCGCAATGTGAACAATCACTGCCACAAAAACCTTGTAACATGCATCAAATATCTAATGCTACGAACAAACTTGTGGTGCTGTTTCTCATATGAGATCTTGTGCTAGTGCTAACTCAGATGAGAATTAGTACCATGAACACCAAATTTAATTCACACTTCAATCTCTCATTTGTCACTACAATGCTCTACAACTAATAAACCAGCTTTAAATTTAGAAACATACAAAGTCATAATAAAACCATATGCAACTCTTTGCTTTTGTTACTTCATATTAATTCCTTCTATAACAATTCAACACATATGATGTACCTTTTTATCTTCTTGGTGCCAATTAATTTAGCTGCTTACTTCAAATTTCAAACATTAACGAGCTTCCCATTATATTATACAATAATTTTGTTGAAATGGCAAGTTCAGCAAGCTGCCTACCCCATTGCTTGGAAGTCACTGCAATGCCCAGTAACCCACTTCTGCTACAACTCATATGCACTAAGGCCTTCCACCCACCCACCAGCTGTTCCAGCTTGAAGTGAGCACTGCTAGGCTGCTTGATTCTGGTTTGGGGCTCTTAACTAAAGTACCTAATATGACAGGAGCTAATCTTCACCCTCCAGGATTGCCACATTTGCTAAATCAGCACATAGGTTGTTGACTATGTTTTGACTTTTGGTGTCAAATTTTTAATTTCTTAATCATCGCCAAGAGGTTGTCTTAAGTTTCAATGGTTTACTGAACCAATTTCACTCATATTTCTTGTGCTATTTACATTTCATTGTATGATATGTGTCCATATTCAACCAATTTGTAACACTGTACTGCACTGGTTGAATTCAGGCACTTCTGACAAAGTGTCTCTAGACACATACCACAACATGAAGAGACACCAAGCACCATAAAATACACAAATGCATAGATGGGTCTACACATCAAGCATCAGAATCACAACAGAAACACAGCAGTTTCCACCAATTTTTAAACACCTGATGATGACCAATGTCAGTTGAGATGTAGTGCAATGTACAGAAACTTTTAAATAAGTTTAAAAAGATGTATGTAGGAAACTTTTAAATACATTTTAGAAGGACGTGTTACACACAAGACTGTGAACCTGATACATCTGTTGAATAATAAATAAAACCTGTGTGAATTTGGCTGTTTTTATGTCGATGCAGTCTGCAGTAGCTCGGACTTCAATACTATCATTTTCATAAAAAAAAGTTTCATGCACTTGTTATGTAACTGCATACTGTCACATACAGTACTACAAAATCTCATCTGTTCATCCATTTACTCATACTACATAAGACACAAACTCCTTCAGTTAAAAAATTTAAAATGTTAGTAATACATACCTAGTCACTGCCAAGTAGAATCCACCTAGTGATAACAATGAAATGCCAATATGGAAAATAACCACTGTCACTCCATAATCTTTGACCGCACGTTTCAGCTTATCTCTACGTGACAATTTACTACTGTCTGTGTTAGTGCTAAAGAGAAACTTAGTTTGCATAAAAACTGGCCTTCTCTGCAAGCATGACATCTCATGGCCTACATTCTGTGAACATGATGGTTTCATGCAGATAACCAGAGTTCCTTGCACACAGTATGATTTTGATGACAATTTCTTACTACCCAATGTACCTGGATCTCCATCTTTTGGTGTTGACTTCTGTTTCAAGTTCTGGTAATGGGTATTATGCATGTCTCTGGAGATATACTTGTGACCCTGGGCCCACTGTCCACCTGGCATGTTCAGGTATGTAGCATGACCTTCCTTTGAGAATGGCTCTGGCACCATGGTTTGCATCAGAGAACTCAGGCTCACTGTACCCCTACAATCATAGCTTGCCACATGCAAATCTAGTGGATATGACTGCTGGTTGTAGCTCCTTGCACAACCATTCAAAAAATTTCCAACTGTTTTTGATAAGATGACTGGACCTGAGATGTCTCTTACTCGCTGTGGAGAGAAACATGCCATCTCAGCAGCATTTATTTCTTCTACATTTGCAGGCAAAGGAAGAGGCTGTACAGTGGGATACTGCTTTGCTGCTGACACATGCAGCTCTTGTGACTTCTGGAGTATGTCTCTTGAACTCTTCTGTTGCTCACCTTTAAGAACAGACAATTATTACTGGCATTCAAAAATGAACGAGAGGCTTAAGATTTTCTGGAATCCCTGATTTACTTAAAAATTACTTATTAACTACAAAGCTTATAAGCTTAAAATGAGACGTTTCTGAATATCAATTGCAGAGATCCTGAGAATGGAAGTGGCTACAATTTATTTTAAGATATTATCACAGAATTTTCCTGGAGTGACAGAGCAAAATCATTAAATCTCTGCCAAAACTGTCAGTCCCTGAGCTGAGATTCCAAAACTTTGGTCACCCAAAATCTGGAGCAAAAAAAGGTAGTCACTACACTAGAACACCTGGCTTCATTTTATGGAATGTTCTAATATCAGTATATAATAAATGACAATATCTGATTATCATATCAACAATGATGCAAGGGAAAGAAGAAATGCATAAACATTTTTACTAGAAAATATCATAAGAAGTAAGCCACTTGGGAGATCTCAGGTGCATCAAATGTTCAAAATTATATTACAAAGCAGAATGAAATGGGTGAGGGTTCAGAAGTTTGTATTGTGAATGCCTCTGGGCGCTGTAACATGAAGTATCTCAATCACCTAAATATCTACTGCAGAAGAATGATTCCATACTATGAATTTACATAGACATAAATCTGTAAGCTACTTCTTATGATCATGAAATACCTAAATGCAGGGCAGTCCATTTTTACTTAAGACTTTACTATAAGAAACTAAGAATGTTATCACCAGGCACTTATCAAGCCCCCACAAGAACTAAATGACAATGAAACAAGTAGCAGTGTCACTTACTTACTTACTTATAGAGCTGAGCCCTTCTTGAGGAGAAACCAAATCTGCAGATACTCAAGAATTTACCAGCATTTTATGGAACCTGAAGGTTCATTACCATGTTCACAAGAGCCCTCCAATGGTCCCTATTCTGAGCCAGATCAACCCAATCCATACCATCCCATCCTGTCTCTCTAAGATCCATTTTAACACTTCGCGGACCAGTGATTTAAATACTTAAATCACCCTGGGGACCAGCATTTTTCAACATACTACCCTAACTTGTGCATTGTTCACTTTAAAAATTAAAATGAAATCTCCTAATTAATTTTTTGAACTAAAATTTTTGGAGAACACTTACCAATGCTCCTAGAAGTGCTTGAGGGTGTGATATTTCTGGAAACGTTCCCATTTGTGAAGTGGCATTACAAAGAACTTGCAGATGTAGACATACTCCTTTTTTTGTGAACTGTGCTAACACATAATTGCCTAGGAGTATTCTTTCCCTTGGAATGGTCACTCTTCACAATTTTCACGAGGGTATTTTTCCGCATATCACTCAAGATTCGCCCTGGGGAGTCCACATGAGGCCTTTGTGGGGTGGGAGTTGATGGGCCCCGTCATACTAAGCCTTTGTGTGACCCTGGTTTTGCTGCCACCATCTGGACTGTAGTCCAGGCCTTTGCCACATTTATCAGAAATGCTTTGTATTTCAATTTTGAATGGGGGTTTAGATTTTTTGCTGTCCCCATAATGTTATTACCTGCATTATCGTCGGAGCTACTGTCACTTTTACTGTCTGTGGCCACAATTCTTTGTTGTCCCCCGTCACTGTCGCTATCTGAATGACAATCCATTACTACGTGTCTCACAAGGCAGGTCAGCTAGGTCATCGGAGGAGAATTTGTCCTTGATCCATTCTCCCCACTAGCTACTGGCTGATACACACAGCTTGAAGAAGGCAAAGCATTTTCCTTTATAGTCAGTTAAGTAAACAGCGAGGTCAAGTTACTGACTGCTAACTAAACATTCCAGAGTCTTATCATACATCTGCAGGCGGTTGCGTGCAATGTAGGTGGCGCCAGAGCGATGTATGGTGTGTTGCATCTTATTGTGTTCTAAAAGCCTGTTAACACGCAAACGGTCCGCCATGTTTAAAAGCAAAAAAACCTTTTAAAGGGTGCGCGGTCCGCAAAGTGTTAATATTGTCCACCCACCTATGCCTTGGTTTTCATAGTTGTCTCCTTCCTTCTGGCTTTCCCACCAGTATTCTATATGCATTCCTCTTCATCCTTACTCGTACTTGTGCTATGTCTCAACCTCCTTGACTTGATCATTCTAATTACATTTGGAGAAGAGTACAAGTTATGAAGCTCCTCATTATGCAGTGTTCTCCAACCTTCTGTCACTTCACCCCTCTTCAGTCCAAATATTTTCAACACCCTGTTCTCAAATACCCTCAGTCTATGTTCCTCCCTTAATGCAAGAGACCAAGTTTCACACCCATACAGAACCACAGTCAAAATTATAGTTTTCTATATTCTAATTTTTATACTTTTGGACAGCAGATGAGACAACAAAAGGTTCTGGACTGAATGGCAGCAAGCATTACCAGAGTTCAATCTCCTCTTAATTTCCTCCTGAATCAGGTTTTGATTTGTTATCATCGTTCCCAAGTATTTTAACTGAGCTACATTTTCAAAACACCTGTTTCCTATCATCATGTCATGATTTTGCCCAGCATTTTGGTGACGAGAAAGCAACATGTACTTAGTTTTCTCTATGTTTACTTCTAGACCAACCTCCTTACTTGCATCAGTTAAAGTTTGTGTGCTTTTCTTTATAGTATCTATATGTTATCACACAGTAGATTCACATCATCGGCATACACGCACAGCTGATGTGTCCCATTTAATTTCAGTCCCACCATGCTTTCCTGGACCTTCCTAATGGCATATTCTAATGCAAAGTTGAAAAGGAGGTGGTGATAAAGCACCATTCTGGATAGGAAATTTATCAGACAACTGTTTACCTATACAGACTTTACTATAAGTTTTGTTTAAACACATTTTAATCAGCTTAACTGATGGACCTAACCTTGAGAGAAGAATATTGGATAAAATTTTGTATGAAGTTGATAGCAGTGAGATCCCCCAATGATTATTACAGTCAGTTTTATCACCCTTCTTGTGAACTGGTACAATAATAGATTCCTTCCACCGATCAGGCAATTTTTCCTTATGCCAAACAAAAGTAGCAGCCAGTAACATTAACCTAATAGAAAGGTAATCAGAACAGTTTTCGATGCCACACACATCACGTTACTTCCTGATATGATTCACGTGTTATTCCACTATGTTAGTTTATACTTTATTTTCATTTAGTATTATTAGGAACTAATTCCACTAAGCAGAATCCTACTTGATAAGCTAATAGTCACTTAGCTTGGGAAAAAATTCTTCGACTTTTGCAGAACCCAGTGGTTCATTACTGTATTCGCTAGAGCCTGCAATGATTAAATCTACATACATCCTACTTCTTTAACATCTATTTTAATATCATGCTCCCACCTACATCCTTTTCCCTTGCAAATATCCTGATCAAAATGTTTATGCACTTTTCATCTCTTCCATGCATGCTACTACAAACATACTTCAATACATGCTTTATTGTCTCACTGAATGTTTTGTCTTATGATGTTGTTAGTGACCTTCTCTTACTACAGAAACTACTAAGTTACTAGCCTCTTGCTCACATAGTTAATATGTAAAGTTATACTAAACTTCCACCTATCTCCAGCATCTGTTTGCCTGCATCACTCAAGTTCCTGCAGTATGAAAACGTGTCACAAAAATGATAACATTTATGGGACATTACACAAGAAGAGGGCCATTCTCAAGTGTAATATGGTTAGTAGTGTTATAATATGCAATTATATTTATATTCTCATTTTCCTCTTCTGCAGTCTTTCTGTAGTTCTATAAATGGGTGCATATTAGGAGAAATATGTGAAGAACACCAACTGCTATATCTGAGTAAATATGGAGATTACTGACTTAGCTGCGACATTGGGTAGTCCAGAAATGCACCAATGTTTCAGAGAAACCAGATGTATCATTCTTCTGGGCAGAGAAGTCTTCTACAAGGCATCATACATCAGATGATAGTATTTTCATATTAAACTCCATGAGAACTTCAAATCTCTTCTACCCAGAAGATGGAGACAGGGTTCTCCAAAACACTGGTAACTTTCTACCAGATTACACATCACATCTCAGAAGTCAAGAGTTTTTTCCAACACTAATTACGTCTTAGGAGGCAATTTAACCCCTCAAGCGTGCGACGCACCATATGCGTCCGGTCAGTTACATGCATCTAGCGTGAATTTAAGCGGGGGTATTTAAATCCCTCCCGGTGCTTTATTTTCGCAAGCATTGAAGGTTTTGTGCAGACATTTACATAAATATTTTTAAATAACAAAATTGCTATTTGAAAAATTCCAAAAAATTATATTATATTTACAATTGTTTACAGTTCATTATTATAAATATGTACTTACATTTTGTCAACCTATTTCTTTTTCCCAGCTCCCCATATCCAGTGTCTAGTAGTTGACCTTGGTGTGGTATTGCTCAAAACAGGCGTCTAGGCAGAGAGAGGGTGTCCCTGGGCAATTTTTACGCCTGTATCAAGTTTGTTTTCTCTTTCCGTTTTTAAATTTCGGTTTTGGGATTTTCTTGAATGAAATGCTGTCCCGTCAATCTCGTACATTCCATGTCGGTATCTGAAGGACGCCCTTTGCGCTTTTCTAAATTCTGTCCATGGGACTTTGCTATGATCTTATTCACTAAGTTTATTCTGAATAACAGATGATCTTTCTTGTTACCAGCCTTGCAGTACTGAATGTAATCATTCAACACTGCCGTATTTACTAAGTGGTTGAATAATTTCTTGTACCACGCTTTTTGCCTTTTCCTTTCTAGCAAGAATGTTTCTAGTAGCTGATCTTTCAAGTTTTTCAGTTCCTACCATATATTTATTATACTCTATTACACACATAGGTTTATTTACAAATTCTAACCCACCCTTTCGACTTACGGGTTGCATTTCGTCTGAATGTTTAGTAGTCAGCACTGAGACATCGCGATTATCCTTCCACTTCAACGCCACCAATTTCCCACACTTTGCACTAATCACTTCTCCTTTCTTCAGTTCCTTTTTTAGATCCACTGGCATAACTTTGCGCGTGATACTCACTGTTCCAACAGCATCTGTTGTCCTCTGAACTAATCTTTGGAAAAGATCAGGACTGCTATAAAAATTGTCCATATAAAACACATCTGCCCGAGTATAATAGTTCCTCGCACAATCTTAGAACAACTTTTGTTGAGAAAAGATATGTCTCTTTGGTGATTTCACAGCCTAATTTTATCCCTGATCCACTGTAAATTATAAAATTCCACAAATATCCTGCGGAATCAAAAAGTTCAAAAATTTTAATCCCAAACTGGGAAGCTTTCATAGGAATATACTGTTTCCACGAAAGTCTATCTTTCCACAATAACAAAGATTCATCGACACTTACATCTTTGCCCCGTATGTACACTTTCTGGAACTTATTTTTCAAATATTCACTTACCGGAAGAATTTTGTACAATTTAGGATCTCTTTTTGCAATTTCCTTATTGGTGTTATTTACAAAATGGAGAAATCTGGTCAGCAATGAAAACCTTTCTTCACTCGTTACATTGGGAAAAAATGGTGTTTCTAACATATGTTTCCTACTAAAATACACCCTGAGGTTTGGTCTCTGAATTATTCCCATCAGCATAAGAAAACCTAGGAATATCCTAATTTCATTCAAAGTTGTGGGAACCCACTTTTGAAAGCTCTATTTTATTAGCGTCAGGGGCAAGAAACTGTCCCGCCAGAGAAGTTACGTGACCAAATGCCATGTTGCTCCGATAAGAGGGTGTTGCGAAGCAGAAAAGGAATAACAGATTCATAAATGTTGACACAGGCGTCAGCCAACTTTGACACCTAGGTTCGTAACATCGTAAATCAGACACGGCTTCTTTGTCGCCAGTAAGCCAAGCCAGTAATAAAAAAATACACACAGATAACAAGCACTCAATGAAAGTTAGCTAACAAATTATCTCTCTGTAAGCAAGTGTGAGTTGGAACAACTCTTTCGTAAGCAGCAGACACCAGATGCTTTGTCCCAAGCAAAGCGAGTAAAAAAAATACCACACACAAACAGATAGCGAGGAATGAAAGAAGTCAGTGTTAGCTGACATATACATTCACTGGAAGTACACACATCAGAGCGTAGGCGTTAAGAATTCTTAGTGAAAAGTTTGGACGCAACATATGCGGCGCGCACGCTTACAGCACGGCTTTGAGTGGACGCAGACGGTGCGTCGCACACGCTTAGGGATTTAAATGGCTCCGCTAAAAGTCACGCTCGAGGGGTTAATCACAAATAAATAAAATATATAATGACCCTGAAATGTGCAGAACAATGCTGTCATAAACTGTTCCTTGTCATCCGTCTTGTCCCTGTACCTAAATCTCGAAAGAAAACAAGCCTTTCTCATTGAACAATGGGATTTGCGAACCAAAACAAAAAAAAACTAAGTGGCCTGTAGTCCGCAAGCAAACTATACCGACCAAGTGACTGCTGCATATCGGCGAGGTTAGTGCCAACTCTTGCAGATAAAGGATGTCACGTGGTCAGTGCAACAGATCCCCATAGCCATTAATCTCAGTTTTCTAGACTGGAGCCGCTATTTCCTAGAAATAGCTCCTCAGTGATCCTCACGAGGTTGAGTGCACACTGTTCCAGAACCACTACTTCTAAGAGAATCTGGTTATCGTCGGGAATCGAACCCGGGACCTCTGGATCTGTAGGTCGGAAGTCTGACCACTAGACCACAGAGGTCTGGGACATCCGAACCATCTGTAACAAAATAAATGAACACTCTGTCCATAATATGCAGTATTACTAAAGATTTAAATTCGGCTTCCTAATACACTTCCTACAATCCCCGACACCTTTATTTGGCTGGTTACCTTGGCTTAAATTTAGGTGCAGAATGGTCGTATAAGACCTACTTAAAAATTTGTAAATTAAAATAAGTCGGAGATACAATATTAAGCAACATTAAATTACATTACTCGCTTACCTAAACATTTTTCGGGTGAACTGTTCACAAACACGCTGTAATGCTGTGACGCCCAACACTTCTTCGAATGCCTTAATAACAACTGTCCCCTTCCAACATACTGCAACTGCGAAGCCATTTTTCAGTTGGCTTGTGCCAGGATTGATGAAAAGTTTATAGGCTGCAAATAATAAATTATAAAATACATTAAACACGCAATATTCCTCTACTTACGTAATTAAACGTACTGCACATTATGACCACTTTCTACTGACTTTGCTCGTCCGACATATTTAATACATACTGTGACGTGCAAAACACGTTACAATACCTTACAATTGAACTGTAATGAATACAAGGCAAAATGTCCTGCATAACATCCGAATCGCTTCATATGTACCTTTACAATTTCAATAGATCACTGTGGTCGCGGTGCAAGTGCCAAGCACGCCCAACCCTCATACATTCATACAATGGCGGACAATGGTAAAGCCAAAGTACAGCAGGCATCACTTCTCGCAATTCAACTTCCCCACTCAAGGTCCTCAACGTCAAGGAAATCCGTACGTAAGTTACATAACACATCCACCATTCAATTCCGACTTCCGAGAAATCCGAGAACACAACTGTAAATCTCTATAGTTATCGATAAGTATCGAAACCTACACAGACGAAAGAAACCAATTCCATCCACGGAAACTCTGTCCCTTTGATGTGCATCTAAGAGAGGAGCATGGACGAGCATGGATTAGTAAGAGTATATTAGCGGCATCTGCAGCATGGGACCAAAAGACACTTAATCTATGTGATCTAAGTACAATCAAAATCATTCATTGTAAAATGGGCTAAGAGAATACAGGTGCAATTAAGGTTAAAGTACAGAAGCATAACTATAAATATGTGCATATAAGGTGATTACCAGATGTTTCACATTTTATTTTTATTTTATAAACACACTGGATACTTGTAATATATGGATCCATATAAGAATCACAATTCGATAATCTACGATATGTAGGTTGCATCGCCTTATGATGGTTCCATGAAAGCCGAAACATGTTGCGACATTATACTTTAATCAATTAAAAATTCAATAGACACGATAGAGAGCAGGTGAGTATTTTTAATTAATTCTTGTGTTCGATAGGTATACATAAACATATAATGTATATACCGCAATACTACAATATCTGTACGTAATATTAGGTTCGTACGAAACTTCGACACACGCACAAGAACACTTCGTAACTTTTTCTTGTGTTTAATTTACATTATAATTTACAAAATACCAAGGGACCTAGCCAGGTCCTAACAAGACAACATTTATTTTTTCGTTCAGTTCAGTGCAAGAACCAACTGAATAGAGCAGAGTCCTCTTTTAGAAGCTGATAGTTACTTAGACACACAATAACGTCCCCCACAATCTTATGAAACCAGTTTGGAGCGCTTTTGATGCGTAGTTTTGTCATTACTCCGATGAAAACCCACTTCTTCGGAACAGTTTGTTGGTCCTGAAAAGGACCGTGGTTGCTGAGATGTTTATCGAGAGGTAGCACGGCGCGCGCAGGTAAGGAGAGAGGCTAGTTGCGGTGAGTGGCCTGGCCGCAGTGCGGCCGTGGCTTGATCGCCGTGCGGCGGCTTGAGTTGTAGGTCGCTTGATCGCAGCGTGGCGGCTGCGGGAGAAAGCCAAGTCGTTGAGCGCGGTCGTAGGAGTCATGAGGCAGTGGCTACGCCAGATGCCCAGTGGGTCGGACAGTAACATGACCACCGGCGAGTCCAGGCGAGGTGCCCCAGCAAGTCGGGTTGTGAGAGCCGGAGAGCCGAGGCAGTCGTGCCTGGCGCAGTCTGCCGATGCCTCCGAAGACCGAGCGCTGGCGACGAAGCCTGCTGACTATTGTTGCTTGGTGTGGCTTGATCGTAGACTGAAGTCAACTGATGAACTGCTGAGTCTGAGTCTGAGTCACGTTGCAATTGACGGTCAGTCTGTCTGTCTGTCTTGGTGTCGAGCCCCAGCTGGGGCTCATGACCAGATATTTCATTTGAATGAAAGTTACCGTCTTGTCTATGTGTAGCGCCCTCTCTGACGAGAGGTCGGGTCTGTCATTTGTCAGTCAGTCTGTAGTACTAAGTCCACTGT